TAAAGATAAATATGTATAAAGAATTAGTTTTTTTTTTTACCATTAAACATAAAAATTATCAAGTATTTTAATGTTTTCAAGTCCCTTGTCACCAAAGTAAAAGGCAAGCAGAAAGGAACCCATTTGGATTCCTAAACAACATGCATATGCATATATAAAAAAATTATGTTTTTCACCATCATAATATTGATTTGCATACAACTGAACAGAAAAAATATATTTTTTCACCGTCTAACAATAGAAATTCAAAGAACCAAAATATAAAGCATCATAAATCACATACAACTGAACCGCAAAAGCATATAAAAATCTCTAAATTACAGCAACTACACAAAGTTGCAGACTACCGACTCATGAGAAATTACTATTGTTATATAGTGACGAGAAATTTAACCTTGTTGAAGATCTTTCTGGAAGGATTGAAAAATGAAAACTCATTAATCAAGAGTAGGAGTGGGCATGGGTTGTGTTGGATCCGTTTTTGCCTCAACCAAAACCCAACACAACATGATCGGTTTGATCAAAAATTTAACCCATCTCAACCCATGTAAATGTTAAAACCCAATCCAACCCAATCAAGTATCGGTCGGGTTGGGTTGGTCGGTTTGGGATGACTTGTCAACAAAAATTAAAATCATCCAATTTTCTATTATACTAAATTCGAATGGACAAGATTAAATAGTAAGTAAATAAATAAATAAATAAAATTATCTATTATCTTATTCAATTCTCATTAGCCGACCCTACAAAGAATAAAGTGCATTTAATCCTCAGTAGCCAAGCCTGCAAAGAATAAAGTGCATTTAATATAACATAAAAGAGTTATACTACATTTCTTGTGGGAAGAACAATAAGTTTCTCCTTTAAAATACACCAAGGTAATTACAGTTACACTATCTACTCACACTTTTTAGGTTTCTTTTATTTTTCTAGGCATTTTGTTTCTTTTATTTTTATTTTAAATTGGCGGGTTGGATTTGGCGGATTTATTCGATTTTCTCGAGTTAACCCATAACCCGACCCAACTCAACCCGACTCAACCCGTCTACACAATCAACCCATCCAACCCGTGTAAAAACAACAAAAAAATCGACCCACCCCAACAGCTTGGTTCCGTTTGGACAGTTTGAGCGGGTTCGATCGATTTTTGCCAACCCCTAATCAAGAGTCTTCAAAAAGAAGATGGCATGCACGGCAGTCGGGATAGAAAAATGAGGAGAATTTTGGAAGTCTAAAAATGTTATTAAAAAAGGGTTTCAAATGTTTTAAAATTCATTAGTTTTGAACCGGACAAAGCGTATAAACTGGGTGTTGGTCAACGATTTTATTAAATTCGGGTAGTAACCAGTTTTAAAGGCGATTTTTAAATTTAAGGTTCTCAAGGCCTAACCGAACCGGTTTCCTGTTTATCAGGTCGAACCGGCCGCATTGGGTCGGTTTTAACAACATTGATCACAAATCAACAAATTTTATGGGTCACAATTTATTTCACAGAGAAAAAATATCAAATGAAATGGTCACACGTTATTTCTCGGTCACAATTTATCAAATTAATTAATCACAACTTATTTCTCAGTCACAAACCACAAATTTTTTAGGTCACAATTTAATTATCGATCGCAAATTATCAAATTAGTCGGTCATAAGTTATTTATTTGTCATAATTTATCAAATTAATTGGTTACGACTTATTTTTCAATCACAAATTATTAAATTAATTGGTCACAACTTATTTCTTGATCACAAATTATCAAATTGACTGATCACAATTACCCAATAAGTGGTCTCAAATTATTCTTTATCTCCTCAACCTCACACCACCTTGTTCCACCACCGTCGCGTCACCCAAAACACGACATCGCCTCGGATCCACAACCCACCACCACCACAATGCATCACCACTGCCGTCGAATGCACTACCACCATTTTCAACGAACCACAATCACCACTACGACCATCGCAACCGCACCATCATCAGCAGCAGCAATAGCACCACCACCACCACAACCACAGATCACACTATCACCACCATAGCCTGGACCCTAACCCAAATGCACTGTACCATCGTCGCCACACTGCACCAATACCATCGTCGGGCACTACCACCACATATCACACCATCACCACCACCACCACCACCACCACCGTCTACACCCCACTTCAAATCCACCCCACCATCATCACCACAATGCACCACAAATCGCACCAACCATCACCTCCACCGCATGCACCTCACCCAAATCCACCGCACCAACACCACCACCACCATAGATTGCACCAACCATCACCACCTTTGTTCAATTACAGAAGTATATAGTCTAAACAGAGAAGTAAAATAAAGAGAGATGAGAGTATAGAGAAATTGAAGACAGAGAGATTTGGGTTGTTATATGGAGAGAAAAAAGTGAATAGAAAGAGAGTGGGGAGAGAAAGTGAATAGAAAGAGTAGAGTAGAGAGAGAGATTTTATGTTGTGCATGAATGAGAAAGAAAGTTAATAGAGAGATAAGAGTACTAACGAAACGTAGACCATTTGGATTAAAATTTTAAGTCAGAGTTAACAGTTAATTTTTACCACATTTCATGGGATTCACAATTTTTCAACCACATATTTCATCAATTTTTATTAAAATCTATTAAAATTTTTATTTTAATCTCTACCAAAAAGGGGCGTCAACTTTAAAAACAGGTCAGTGTGTAATTTCCTCTTTTCCTCTTTTAATCCCTACCAAATAGGGGTAAGATGAGTTGGTTGTTTTGAATTGAGAAGTTAATGCATAGAGAAAGCCCACAAACTAAGTGACTTCTGAGGCCCAGTAAGTATCGATCTAACAATGTGATTGTTCTTCATGCAATAGGGCAGTCCGATGCCTGAACAATTAATTAAGAAGTTAACTTTTCGTTATAATTTTTGAACATTAAGAAATATAGTGAAATATCATATATTACATCGAATTTATAATTATGGTTGAGATTTTTTTAAGTCTTTAAGCGTGAATTTAAGCTACCATATGAATTATTTGATTATTGTTCTAGAGCTATTTGTCACATTATCATGTTGTTTTTTTCCCACTTAATTACTTATTTTCTCAAATATGAAAATAATTTACCGGTTTTAATAAACGAAACTAAGAACAACATTACCGAGTTTAAAATATATCATATTACATAAGTTTGATTTAAAAAAAATCATAAGAGAGGTTTTGTCATGTGAAAGGAATATTGAATCCTAGAAATTAATATTGTGAGAACTTTCGACCGAATTAATGAATATATATATATACACATGCACGCACGCGCGCTATGAATTTGAATTCTTAGTCTTAAATTCTTGAGTTTTGCTACACAAATATAATGGTTGACAAAAGGGATGACACAACACACACACATGGGGAATGTCGGCATTATTTAATTCAGGTCGGGACTCACATACAATGTGAGAGGTCGATCAACCCCCTATGTCAAGCATTATGTTCATTTAACTTAATTCTAAACTTATCTTTTTTTGAAAAATGCTTAGGCATATTTGTAAAATGTAGACATAAAGTGAAACCATATTTCTTTTGTCTTTATCGAGCATCTGAACCAGACAACCACTTTTCATAATGACGACTTTGGCAACGCACCTTCACGATACCTTCCACTTAAAGTAATAATATTTTAATTGCTTGTGAACCAACCATTGAAATCCAATCACTGATTATTCTTTAATTAATTTGGCACAAAGCGAAGAATCTTTACTAATTTAGTTTGAGTAACATTCTGTTGTCTCGAATTTGTAAATTTAAGCATATAATACATTTTTTGATGCATCATTACATGATAGATTGATGCATTTTATTTGTTAAGAATTGACGCTGGATTTTGCTACATGTATATTAAGATTTATATAATGGATTACATAATGTCATAGGATACTTTATCATTTGTTAGTTTAAAATACAATCAACTTTTTCATCCAATCTTTTTCCTTCACAATATATTATGTAATCTATTATATACATTTTTATTTACAAGTAGCAAAATCGATTGACACTAACGTTAGCTTTTCCACATGACAACCACTAATTGGTTCTAGAAAAATGTTAAATGTACAAGGGAGTTGTACAAGCTCCTCACAAGAGGGGGGCCCACGGTGATTAAAATAATTGTGGGCCCCCTCCTGTGAGGGGAGCGTGTACACGGGAGCATCAACTCCAATGTACGTGTAGCAAAGCTCTTGGTTCTAACTGTAGCTTTTGCATCATATTTTTCTCAATTGTAATAGATTATTGTCAAGGAATAAATCACTTATCTATTAATTATAAAAATATAAATTTTAATATATAAGAATTTGGATTACTTATATTGCTAATATCTTTGATGGCGAAACTTTAAGTGTTAATATAATATCAGAACTCATTGAATTCAAACAAGCAATTTGATCCGATTAAGTTCCTGTTTGGTAGAGATTGAAATAAAATTTTTAGTAAATTTTGATAGAAGTTAATAAAATGTATTATTAAATAGTCGTGGGTCCTACAAAATGTGTGATTAAATTAATTATTAATTTTGATTTGAAATTTTAATTGAATTTTAATCCAAACTAAACAGATGATAAGTCTCACAAATGAGCATAAAAATTTTAAAATTGATCTGTTCAAATGATTCATCATCGGACATATTAAAGGGCTAATCCCATGATGTCTAGTTACAAAAATATAAGATCATCATATAAGAACTCGAGTTTACTCCTCTAAAATTATTTTTTAATAAATTTTGATATAAATTGATGAAATATACGATTAAAAAGTTGTGAATTATATTAAATATGTGATTAAAATTAATTTGTTACTTTAACTTTAATTAAAATTTAGATTTTAATTTCAATCATGAGCTTAATAAGGTTAATCATTTACATTGAAATTGGACCAATAATAAGAGGAAAAATCTAATGACTAAACATAGAATAAAAATTTATGCAAGACCTCAAACATATAAAATAAATATTTATTGATGAGTTTAAAGAGTCAATTTGAGGTCTAATCCACTTGATCCGCTAACCTCATCATCATCTTTCTTAATAATATTACATGGAGGCGGCAACACGGAAGAAGGCCTTCTAAACTTAACGTCCGCTGTAAAGTCTTCCCAATGAAACACCGGTACCCATGCGGCGGCGGCGGCGGATTTCCGCTGATGTTCGTCTGAATCTGAATCGGGCTTCCTCTTCCTCTTATTTTTCCCCTTATCCGTGTGATCGTTCATTTGATTCCGTAAATCCTTAAATTTTCTGATCAAAGCAAAGAATTCCTCTATCTTCTTCTCATCATCTTCTTCTTCAACTTCTCCGGCATTCCTCTCTGCGGTGTGCTTCTCGTTTTCCATTTTCCAAAAAGAAGAAAACACTCTGTACTCAATGTTCACGTCTTTTACTTTATTCCTTTTCGATGAATTTATAGTGCGGTGATCTGCGTAATTTTATATTAAAAGACGGAGCTGCCCTTGAGTACACGTCAGCGGATCACGTCATATAGGCACACGTAAGTCGTGTTCCGTTTTTCTCGAGTCTGATTACGCTGCAGTCCCCACACTTGTAGACGCTGTTTGAGCCACATTATTTTTTTCATTCTCATTCTTCTACTCATTTTTAACCACACATTCTTTAATAAAATACTTTAAAAACTAAACACTTATCTTATTTATTTAGTCATTGTTTGGTCCTAATTATTTTTAAAATATATTTCTCTTTTTTATTTTCAATTACACGTTTTTCAATAAAATGATATTCACGCAAATTTAAAAAAATTTCTTATTTTTTAACCACACATTTTCCATCAAAATACTAATAAAAGTTAAGAAAATAATGGTTGTACACCATGCCATACAATCCTGTCATATGTGGGGCCCACCATGAATAAAAAATGTGGGTCCCCTCTATGTGAGGGGAGTGCACAAGTATGGTGTACATGTAGCATAATTCTAAAAGTTAATATCAAACGTGTTTTCTTAAGTGTGTTTGTCTCACATTATTGTAGAAGAAATGGAGTAATGAATAGTATTTTTTGGAGAATGTGTAGTTAAAATTTAAAGTAATTTTATTGATTTATGCGTAAAATATTTTATTGGGTGAATGTGTGATAAAAAATCTTACTGTAGCAACTAATATTTTAGAATAATGAGAGATAAACGGAGCCTAAATTATGAGTGGAGTTATAACAGAATTCTTTGGCTATCAAAATTTGAGTGACTTTAAAATGGTCCCCAATAAGCACTTGTAAGAAATCAGGACTTATAATTTCATTCTTAGTACAATAGTTCTCAAGTCGATGTTTGGTTGCAGGTGGGGTGGGGTGGCGTGGCGTGGCGTGGGGGGTGCATGGTTGAGTTTGATTGGTGAAGACGATTTTTTTTGGGAAAATTGTAGCCGTGGTCCCAAACCTTTCATTTTGTTGCAGATTNAAATCATCAGTCAACGTTGAAACAGTACTTGTAACCCAAATGACATCTTAATTGATGGGTAAAATTATCAAAAACAAGTTATCCAAAAAAAATATTTGTTTTCTTCAAATCCTTCAATCTTTTCACAACCATCACATTCTCATTATCGATAACATCACATTCTCATCACGTTGACTGACGATTTGATGGACGGAATGAGTGAAATGGACCAATGCTGTAATTATATATAAAGGTTTGAGAAATTGGGACTTCGGCAGCAAAAATTAAAAGTTTGGGTATAATTTGCAATAAAATAAAAGGTTTGGGACCATCGTTGCAATTTTTTCGAGTCAAAATTACTGTTGACACGTTGACTGACGGTTTTATGGACGGCATTAANAAATTACTGTTGAAACATTGACTGACGATTTTATGGACGGAATTAAAGGCTTAGGACCGACGCTGCAACTACATATAAAGGTTTGAGACTTCGACTTCAAAAATAAAAGGTTTGGGTGTAATTGCAACAAAATGAAAGGTTTGGGACCACGGCCGCAATTTTTCCATTTTTTTTTTCAATTTTTTATGTATGAATTAATATGTATTTCATTTTTTTTAAAATGATATTTATTTGTATTTTTAAAAATTTATGAAACTCTATTTTCAAAATTTCCTTATTTTTTTCTGTATTTTAGCCTATTTCTTTTGTTTTTTGTTTGTCATTAATGGTCAAAATGGAGAAAATAACGAATTTTGTTATATAATTTAAATGCAGGGGAGAAGTTACACTAACAAATAGATTTAGGGTACATTTATTACATTTACAAAGACTGAGAACAAAAGGTGCAAAATTCTCTAAATTAAAAGACGTAACTGTTCCCCCAAATGACTCGGTAAGATGATGACGTCATCGGGTTCCGCTTCTCGAATCTGATTACGTAAGGCAAGTCCCACACGCAAATGCAGTGATGGTTACTGTGGAAAAATGGAGATAATTTGATGTTAGGCTGCGCTTAAAAGTAAAAGCCTACGTACAGTCATGTTTGAGTCCCATTTTTTTTGGACCATGTTACATATACATAAAGGTCGATTACATTGATTTACACTCATATAAGTTGACAGGTTTTGGTACATTGATATTTTAAAAGAATGTATTTTGAAATTATAAATTGATGAAGAATGTGTGATTAAAAAGAAAGAAAAAGTTATTGATGTGATGGAAAATATTATTTTATTAAAAAATGTGATTGAAAATGAGTAAAGAATTGAAATGAAAATTTTAATGTGGGTCAAACATGGGGCCAACTGTCAAATTTTTGATGCATAGGAGGCGTCAATCAAGGTTTACATTTTGTATATACAAGTAGTTTAATCTTTTTTTTTTAAACCTAAAATGCATTTTAAAATAATGATTTGATGGGTGCTGTGTTTGTTAAAAAATAAGGAATTTTTTTAGATTTTCGTGTAATATTATTTTATTGAAAAATGTGTGATTGAAAATAAAAGAAAGAAAAATATATTTTTAAAATAATGAAGATCAAATAAGGGCTTAAAAAGTTCTTCTCTGTCATTTCAAAGTTAATTATTTTTATATATAAATAATCTATTGTTTTAGAAAATTAAATTGCAATTTTTTGAAAGTAAACCATAGTTATTGTGCTCGAATGAAGTGAGAGTAGTGTTGAAACAGAATTATTCCACAATTAAAATTTGTGACGAATAAGTTATGACAAATTATTTGTTTCTGGAAAAGTATTGGAAAAGAAATGGTCTAAAGACCTTGTCGCTGAATCGGATTGATTGAAAACTACTTACCAATATGAGCAATGCTATACTTATCGAAAATTGTTGACAAATACTTTGATCGAACACTTACAATAGGAGAGGGCCCACATTTTTTTGGAATTTTTTATTCACGCGTGGTCCGCACGCATGTGAGGAGTTGTCAAATTCGTTATCATCCATTTTCGGTACAAATGAAAAAATCCTATCAATATATATGCCATTATGCCAATTTGTAATGATAGGTCATTGTTATGTACCAAACTTTTATCTTTATGATTTTCTAATTTGAAATGTCTATTTTGGAACTATTTTTGATGGAGATTTGGAACGAACTTGTTTTTAATATACAATATTAGAGAGTCACTTCCTCGAAGGAACCACTCAATTCATTGCAAACACAAAATGAATAAAGCAGTCATTTTCGTTGGAAGTTTCCGTAGCATTGTCCAGTGGAAAATAAACCTACAATAGGAGGGAACGTGCCAGCATGGAAGAGCTTAAAAAATTAAAATATAAACAATCTCTCACACTTAAAAAATAAAAATAAAGTTACTTGAATTTTTATAAACAGTTTATACACAATTAGAGTGTGTTTGAGACACATTCTTTTGCAAGAATGTATTATTGAATATTAGATTGATAGAGAATGTATGGTTAAAAATGAAGGAAAAATTATTGATGTGATGAAAAATATTATTTTATTGAATTATGTGTGGTTGAAAATAAGTAGAAGAATGAGAATGAAAAAAATAATGTGTACCAAACAGAGCCTTAATATAGAATACACAATTTTGAATATAAACGTTTGCAGAAATTGAAACCTAAAATTTGTTGAAAATTTGAATAACAAGTTATTTAGATTTCATGAATTAGTTATGTATAAGATGTAATCATAATTTAAATATTAAAAAATGCAAAGTTATTGATAAATATTTAAATTTATAAACTAAAATAAGATGTTAAATATAGTCATGTACTTTTACAATTCAAGTAAAATTTAGAAGAAAAAAAAAATAATGTATGTTAGTTTATTAAAACATAAAAGACTTTCAAAATTTATTATTAAATGATCATCATATTATATAATATAATGCTATGCTAATTCAAAATATATATTTCGAAAAATAACAACACTTATACAAAAAATAAATAAATTATACGATTTAAATATAAACTACATCCAACGAATTTTGTATATAATATATCAATTTATGTTCTTCTAGTTTAGTTTGAGAAAGTTAATTAGATATATATTTTTTTATTTTTCTCTATCTCCCGAAAATTCTATTTTCACTAAAAATCGAAAGATTCGTGAGAATGCGACCCAACAGGAATTTTGAATTATCAATACATATCGTTCATGTAGAAAGGTGAATAAGTCAATTTATTTAGTTCAACTAAGAATTCCATTTTTTTTTCCCATAGTGACAAATTAGGTATATCTACCTTATTTTAGGTAATATATGACTTAAAAAATGGCCAAGAATGTGCCCTTGTTAGGCAGATATTAAATCAATTTTCTAGTAAATTTTGATAAAAATTAATGAATTTTGAAAAATTGTGGATTTCATAAAATATATGGATAAAATTAAATATTAACTTTGATTTGAATTAAAATCTGAATTTTACGAAAGTTGTTTTTTCTCTCTGCTCTTACAAAATAATAAATTTCAAAATTAAGCTTTCTTTGCTTTATCAGTGTTTTAATTTTTTTAATACTATGATAAGCGATAATTTCTAAATTTAATGTATCATAAATGTACGATTATACAAAAGAAAAAAAATATTTTTACTTCATATATCTATAATAATATTTGTTTTAAGAGACGAGAAGAAATTATTGAAAGTAATACAAATGTTAAAGGTTAAAAATAAAATAAAAATGTAAATTTGTTTTTGAATGTAAACGAAGAATCACTTGACAAAAACAAACTTCAGGATAAATTTCTATATTTTCAGAAAATGCAAGGTGTGTCTATGTAATATTCATAAGCCCATATGTAACAGTAGTCGTCAGAAAAAATGTTAGTCAAATTCCTACCTAACTGGACCGTTCTTCGACTGCTACAAGCAAATAAAATAAGGATTATGCTAGATGTACATAATCATTTACATATTGGATTACACCCCCCTCACTTGGAGGGGGGCCTACACACAATAAAATATTCGTGGGCCCCCTTCCATGTGAGGGGGGTGTAACCCCGTGTATAAATCACCGGGTGTACATCTAGCATAATCCACAAAATAAAGACAAGACATTTCGAACTGGACTACAGCAAACTCGTATTCCCTGGTTAGTAGCATATCTGCAGGTAGAATTGGAAGAATAGAAAGCACATTAGAGAGCAAGAAATGCACATTGCTTCCGTGCGTGCTCGGGTATCAACTTCTCCAGCAACTCGACTGGCACCCCCTTGAGCTCTAAGCAACATTAGCAGAAGAAACAGTAAAGACAAGATCACTATGAGAGACATTTAAGATAGAATAGCACAAGTTCGATCTAAGAATGAGTACTTAATGCTTCTTACCGTGTTGCTTAAAATTGAACAATGGAGGAAGAAAACGTCCATTCGGTAGGCGAACATTTGGATCGCGCAACCCATTAAAGAAAGGGTGTATCAATGCTTCCAGCTGCATTGGAATAAGCAGAACCACGAATTAGAATTTTACAGATTATGAAAATAAAATGACGTTACTGTCTTGTAAAAATTGATATGTTGAAATGCCCTTGTCAGCTACACACACCCACCCAAGTACAGAGAGGGTAAACTGTAACGTTTCTAGGTTTTTTCTTTTTTTTTTTTTTTTTGGATGGGGGGGGTGGGGTGAGAGTATTGTAGAATCTTATTCTTGGTGCATTAGACATACAAACAGTAGCGAAAAGTTCTGCCAATCACTATGAAACTCCAATATATTTGATGACACAAAAAGCCCTCGATAAGGTCGACATAACATAGAAGGCGTAACTGTCTAAACATTGTCTTTTCAGGATATATGGACTTGGAAATTACAGAAAAATCAAAAGGATGAGAAGTGTTCGTTTGGTCATGCTTAAAAGCTGCTTTTCTAAAATTATCTACGAACCACAATTATCACGTGGAACCCACAATCTGTTTATCTAGAGCCACAAAAACAAGTCAACCCTGGAACTTATATGCACACCTAAACATGTGCCTAGAATGGCATGATTTGATATTGCAGCATCTTAACCAGTTGTACACGGTATTCAAGAACTTGGAGAAAAATGTAGAAATATTATGAATTGAGAAGTACTCTACTATTCAGTTCATCAAAGTTTCTGATACTCACAGCTGTGCATCGTAGATTTGGAGAATATTGCAGTAGCCTTGATACAAGATCGACAGCTTCTACAGGCATGTGCTTGTGAAATATCTGAAGAAGATGATAGAATCAAATTACAACGAGCAAAACATGACCACATCAAAATGAAGCACATAGTATCATTGCTACCTTGTGCCACGGATGAGTTTTAATTTGAGGGAATTTGAACTCAGTGTAGTTGGGGTTCATACATTTGATCTCCTCCCTTGTTGGGGTGCCCAAGACCTACATGGAAATAAGCATTTCTAAAGTGAGCTGATAAGAAGGAATACATTAACCATAGGACACAAACAAATAAATAAATTATAATAAAATTTGAAGGATTCTTCTAATCACGATTACCTTAATAATTTCAACAAGCTGATCCACTCCGCTTTCACCAGGAAAGAGGGGCTGCAATTTCGAAGGAAACCGAAATTCTCGCCTTCAGCACATGAGCAAAACAACTTTCTTAAAAACTAAGGGAATTGAAAAAAACACAAGTTCTCTTACCTGTCCTAGCAATAATTCGGCCAGAACACATCCGGCAGACCAGATATCTATGGCTGTAGTGTACTCTGTCGCTCCAAATATAAGCTCAGGAGCTCGATAGTACCTAGAACATATATAAGAAATGTTCGGCTCTCCTTTTACCTATAATTTATGCCATAAAAGAAGTAAGACAAGAGCACAAGGAGAAAGAAACGCATCCGATACAGTGAACAGGAAAAAAATACATACCAGTACTTTAGCACTTCCAAAGTCGCATAGTTTCACCTGATGAGTATGCGGATTAACCTGTGAATCAATGAAAAACATGGAAATTAACAAATCATGCAGACAGCTGAATGTTGCACGTCTTTATAGTTTTGCCAAAACATGTGAACTTCAAAAACTTACCAATAAATTTTGGGGTTTAATGTCCCTGTGGCATACTCCAATACTGCCATGGATATAAGCCAGTGCTCTAAAAATCTGTATGGAAAAATCAGTGATGACTGAGTATGAGACCAGAATAACAAGAAAAAGAAAACAAAAATGAAAGTAAAAACTTGCCTGATAGGCATAGAGCTTCACATATATCATAGGCATCCTTTGGCTCATCTTGTTGTAATGTCTAATCACCCGATGAACAGTTTCAGGAACATACTCCAATACCAAGTTAAGGTAAAGCTCATCCTTTTCAGTAGTTGAAAAGAAACAATGCTTCAAAGACACCACATTAGGGTGGTCTAGGATTCGCATGGTTTGCAGCTCGCGGTTCTTGTATTTCTTATCTTGAAGAACCTTTTTTATTGCAACAGTTTCACCTGTCTCCAGACATTTTGCCTGCATGAGCATATTCATAGCAGATCTTAAAAATGCCAGATCATAAATTATTCAAGCAGCAAACAGGAGTAATCTCTTACTAAAATAACAGAACTTTGTACAAAGTTACCAGCAGCTACCTGAAACACTACTCCGAAAGATCCCTGTCCCACAACACGTTCAGCCATGTAGCTGATAGTCTAAAATAGTACAAGGTAAAATTATGTCAGAATAGAAGAACAAGTCTACTAAACCTAAATGAAGATAGGATCCAAATATCACCTGCTTTGGCTGGCCGTTTTTACCACCAATAGTCGTAACAATTATGTGACCATTTTCTGTTCCATTACCATTGACAACAGCTGGTTCCATGTCCTATCACAAAATAATAATAGGAACCATGACCATCTGGCACAAGACTACAATGAAATAAGAGCTCAATGAAATAGTGATCAAAAAGTAAAGACCGAATTATACCTTGTCATCCCTAATTTTCATGTCATTCATCTCATTTGGCAGCCTATCAAGACCAACGGTATTTCTACTAGATTCTCCAACACCAGATGAAGGAACTACACCTACTAAAGCCATTCTGATCTTAACAAACAAACCAAAGCACGTTCCTACCAGACTTACCACTAAAAGCCAAGAATACCAAGAAACAACCTGCAGTGAACAGCATGTTAGTTTGTGGAACCTTTGGAGTTATAAATGCTCAAATTAATTCAGCCTTCAGGTTAGTAATTGTCATTCTTAAGAACAGTAAAAACTGTAACATGATTGTCATTATAACCTGAAAATATAAGCAAGACAAATATCAAAAGGCAAAGTATGGAATTAAGGTTGAGTGAGGATCATCAAGAGGAAGAGGTAAAAGATTGGTTCTGGTATTAGTGACTTTCTTAGAGAAAAGATAAAAGTGCCCAATCCTTTCCCTCAAATTGCAATAGGGCACTGAAACGTGAATAGCTGCGGAGAAGTAAAGGCCAAACTCTTTGGCCAAACAAAAATGGGCGACAACAAAAGACAGGATGTGGTGTCATGGAAGCCCCAAACGTTAAACAAATGAATGAAGCCAGAATCATATCCAGAGAGATGATTTTTTTCCATTGATGTCTACAAGTCCATCATAAAAGTACAGATAGGTGAGGCATTCGAGTATGGTAATGTCTATCGATGGATTGATTCAATAGATAAAAAAAAATTGACCCAGGGCTACTACATTTCTTGTGAAATTAATTCGGCACTGCCTTCGTACAAGTTCAGTGAAGATAATTACTAGCCAATTCTAAATCAGAAACACTTGGAAATAACTAAATTCCAACTGGGCGTCAAAAGTAAAGAAGGAAATAAACTAGGCAATTTTTTTTTTGTCATGGATCAATTCAAGAACAAATCCCTGATGAAGTTATTTCAGCAGGTTGATGGTCGACTCATCTTGGACTAAAGAGCAGAAGACGGTGAATTTCAACTTTCAAGAAAGTTCGGGATAGATTGTAGAACTGCAACCTCGGGATAGAAAAAATTAAAAAACTTCGTTTCACCCAAAAAATAAGAATTAAAAACATACAAATTCTCCAGCTTATCAAAATAACGAAAACAAAACCCGGTAATGAACTATTAAAAAGGACCCTAGCATAATGCGATCTGGGAAGCAACCAAAATCATTTCGTCGACCATAAGGGGAAAAACAGTTCATTTAAAAAGCGAAATGCAAGAAAACAACTAGTCAACAAACAATCATGAATTGATGAAATTTTTACCACGTATATTACATACTTTGCCCAATTTCCAGGATAAAAGAAAAAAGTAAAGGAAACAAACCCTAGAGAGAAAAACTAAAATAGAATGACAACAACCAGAACTGAAAATCTAACAAATTCACGAAATAAAACAGATTCAAAATCAGCAAGAAGTAAGAAGGTTTAAGAAAATGTACCGATCAGGACGAGAATTAGCCAAGTAAACAGCTCCGACGGGAAAACTAGATCCAGATAACTCCAACCGCAACATGAACCGGACCCGATTTCCCAAAATCCTGATCGATCAATCACAAAAACTTTGATTCTTGGACGAAATGTTCAACAATTTTTACAAGCCCAGCAAAATGCAAGTTAAAGTTGGACAACGATTCCTCCTCTTTTGATAGTATTGGTATTTGATAATAATCCAATCAACAAAAAGGGGAAACCCAATCTTATATTGCAATATTATTACTCAATATTGAAATTCCCACCTTTTTTCGAGTCATGAATCATTACAGGGTCTCCGCCTTTTGACCGTTCAACATCTGCTTTCCGTACTTTTTCGACATTAATTTAGGCAGAATTGCAGTTGAGGTTCCAAATATTTCAAATTATTATAGATTATCCCAAACCTTTCATTTTTGCAGTTGAAGTCTCAAACCTTTCATCTTTATTGCGATTGGAGGACATGTATCCGGAATTCATCCATTTGATCGTTGGCTTGAGTCTGACCAAAATATTTTTTATTTATTTGTTATTTAATTATTATAATTATTTATAGAAAAAATTGCAGTTACAGTACTAAACATTTCATTTATTAGTAGATTTTGTACCCACCCACGGTATCACACCTTTCAAAAATTCGCACATGGAGTTCAAATGGATTGAAACCAACCATTTGACCGTTAGTTGATTGGAACAGTAAAACTTGACCAAATGTAATAAAGATAAAATATTAACTTTACAATTTTAATATAAAATCATTATGATAATTTTTTTAAAAAAATTCTTCTTCTCCTTCCTCAGATTCCCTCCCACCCCACCACTTACAGCCATCGCTACTCACCCAAACATCAACAACCACAGCCACTGTCACCCATCGACCGACTCGCAACAACATCAAATCAATAATCAGAATTATATTTTGCAGCAAACAAACAAATTATTAAGAACAATGCAAAAATAATAATTACCCAGTAACAAAGCGAGAGAAATTCGGCAAGGGATTGAGTCGATGAGCACCAAATACTAATTTGGTTGGCGACGTTGATCTGAGCGATTTCTGGGTCATGATTTTGACTTGGATCCGACACACTAATAACAAGTTCCAATTGAACTTGAAACTTCTTCTCGAAGAAATTAAAATTACTCTTAGAAATTGAATTCTAATTTTCCTATAAATCTGAAGCAAGTTGAGCCGAAAATCGGGTGCAAGTCAGATGAAGGTGAAGATGGCAATGAAGATTGAGACGGTGTCGTTTGAAGAGGAATGAGAAGAATCTTCATCTCTTTTTTTTTTCTTTTTTATTATAATTATTATTTTATATTGAAATTGTAAAGTTACTATTTTGCCCTTATTACATTTGGTCAAATTTTACTATTCCTGTCAACCGACGGTCAAATTGATGATTTTCATCCATTTGGACTCCATGTGCGAATTTTTGAAAGTTTTGGTACCGTGACTACAATTTTCCCTTATTTATATGGATAATTTGGTCAAATTGTTAACTTTTGGTTAACTGACTATCAAGTGGATAGATTTCATCCACATGTCCTCTGGCTGCAATCGAGATAAAAGATTTGGGACTTCAACTATAAAAATGAAAGGTTTGAATATAATTTGCAATAATTTAAAAGAATTGGAATCCAACTGCAATTCTTCCTTAATGTTATTTGAAAAATCAAATTGACTTTTTAAACAATTTATGCCCCTGTTTGACACCCATTTTGGGTAAAAAATAAATTCTGAAATAGTGATTGATGGAAGAATGTGTGGTTGAAAAGTAATGAGAATTTTTGGGTTTATGTGTAGTATTATTTTATTGATAGAATGTGTGGTTGAAATGAAGAAAGAGAAGAAAAATGAGAATGGGAATGAAAAAAAAATGGATGTCAAACGAGGGCTTAATTTGAACTAATTCTTCAAATAGTCACACAAGCTCAAGTGAAATTTCAAATTGGTCATTAATGTATTTATCAATAAAGCTAAATATTATGTAAACTGGCCATTTCTTTTGCAACGTCCACTCTAAACTCGAGGTATTTTCCTTAAACTTTAGTAACTTTCAGTTCAATTAATTCTTTTGTTTTTAGATATGCTTAGGTATGTCAATAAGACACGTCGTCCACTCATTGAATTGCTCATGTCCAAGACAAGATGTGCTTGGGGTTTTGGGCCCACGACTTAGACTTGACTCATTGCCCAAAAATGGGTCTTCGACCAACTCGTGATGGGTCGAACCGGCCCAAGAACATATGTTCCTTTTTTTAATAAAAGAGAACATACGAATTTTATCAAAATAAAAGAAAATTTTACGACAAAAATAATTAATTCAATGAAAGTGGAGAGGGAAGCTAGGATAAATAAGTTATTTTTATGTAAAATTATAAATACAAAATGATGGAGTTACAATAAAAATAAATAAATTATTACAAGAAGATCGGCATGTGGCGTCATGATGACCATTGAATACCTAGTAAGAATCATTCAACGCCTACATCGTATAACTAGGAATACCTCTTCAAGTTGACCATTGAATCAATCAAATTTGATTATATATGAAATTTAATAAGACCCATAGTATTAGTTATTTACAAATTTCAACAAATGGAACCAACTTCTATACTTATGTGACCATTTCTATTCTCGATTTTCCTCAATCACACAATATTAACGTTATCACCAATGTGCACTACTCAATTGTTTCATTTTTTTTTTTCATGAATTCTGGCCCAATCGAAGTTTTCTTTCACTAAATCAAAATTCCGACTCTTACAAGTAAGTTTAAGACATCCGAGAATAAGACCAAGTGGTTCAACACAATCCGAGAAAAATAACATTTGTTTACAACTAAACTACCCTTTGCTCACTTATTAGGCTGAAATAAGTTCTTTCATATTTGGTTTGATTGAAGTCTGAGTCTCAAATTTCAAAATTTAGAATCCTGAAATATGGCTATATAAACTTTATTTCTAATGAATCGAACCTTCCACGAACCCTAAAAAAGTAGCATTTCTAATTTTACAAAAAGAAGATAGCTCTATACAGTGAAAAATCACGATTGACATTGCTTTTTTTTTTTTTACGAGAGACAACAAGAAAAGTTAACCGATAATGACATGATTGATTGATCGTCCATTCTTTACTTGCTCGAAGTATTGTTTTAAGTGTATGCGAAATGGAATTCCTTATTAGCTACTCTTTACTTGTCTAAGTATTATTTGCAAAGTTCGCAACCTCTGTTTAGGTAAAGTATGTTAAGAATTGAAGTTTCACCTTAAAAGGTCAACCTTATTAAGAAGAGTAACTCAATCTTTTATAAGTTGTTTTATGTTTACATTTTTAAAAATATGAGATTCTATCTCTTAACATGCTCTACAAGATGGTGGCTCGTTTGAGTCTTAACCGGATCGAATTGCTCGTTAAAGCTTAATGGGTTCTGATACCATTTTAAGAATTGAGATTCGATCTTAAAAGGTCAACATTGTTAACAGAAGTAACTTAATCCTTTATAAGTTGGATTATATTTACATATTTATTCGATATAAGATTCTATCCCTTAACAAAGTGGTACCAATATGGAACTCAAGTGTCGTGTTTATGGGAAACCATCCATTCATTTCAATATTTAGTTACAACATCCACCGTATTTTATGCATGTAAGGGAGCATTGTAAACCCACGTATCTGTTTACTTAATTATTTAATCCAAGTGTTACTTTCTAAAATCAAAATGAGATTATACTTTATCAGTCTATTGGTTTGGCAAGCTGTACCTTAACCTGTGTGCGCAAATTATATGACGAGGAAGCCACAAACCTACAAAGTAGACACGTTTCAAATTAGGCAGTTTAGATGAGAAGAGAATACAGTATAGTTGTTGGTGAATTACTGAATTATTGGGGTGGGGTGGGAACACTTCTAGGTCAAACGTGTTAGTACAAGTCTAAAAACTAATATAAAATATTAGATACAAAATTGATATATTATCGTCACACCTCCATCTCGTGGAGCCATGTTGGATTCACACTTCATCGAAGATCCACAACGCCAACTCAAATCCAAAGTTTCACGGTCATCACTTCACGTCGCTCGAAAATGAGAACAACGGTGCTCTTGTTTAAATCAGAAGGATCGCCAAATAAGACCAATGGCTCGCATAGCGTCGATAGATTCCACCTCTTGTTTTTAATAGGATGAATTTAAGCGTATTCGTGACTCTATCACTATGACAAGAACTCCACTATAATTCAAACAATGCTGAATGCACCCAGCAACTGCACAAGGAATTAGCTTGCAAGTTGATATTTTCCTTCAATAATTATTAGCCATCGAATGCACAGTGGTCCATCTTCATTCAAAGAATGGCTTGCAATTTGTGTATTTTCTGAAGGGTTTGAGGTTTGTCACTATCAGCCTCAATGTCGTAACTTTTTCCCCGACTCAGTTGATTGAGAGTTCTCGACGACGATACCTAAATGGACCCATTTAGCTTTGGTCGGCCTTAAGGGACTATCAATCAAAATCGAAATATTTTATGACTCTTAAGGCTCATCCTTTGTGTTGTATTAATAAGCAATTTATTCTTTAATTTTTTTAATAATAATTTAAAATTGCAGTTGGGGAAGTCAACGTGGCCTATTTTGTCAAACTTTAACAGCTTGAAAAAAAAAAAAGAAAAAAGAAACGGCCTTCGCGCGTCTTCAAAAGTCACGCGGTCGACCCTACTGGGAAACTACCCATCCAGAAACCTCCACCTGTCCACCAACCGAATCCCTCAATCTTCATATCTCCCATTTGCGTGTGAAATCGAACAATTCGATCAGATTCTAGTAACTCACACGCGTCCATACACGCAATTGTTTTAAGACCATACCGCCGGTTCCCGGTCTCCCTTTACAACGTCATTTTACTATAAATACAAATTCAACCCTACTTATTCGTCTGTTTGGTTATTTTCTGCACACAACAATCACAGAAATCCAAAGGAAGTACCAGAAACATATTTTTATTTACTCAACAAGAAAAAGATCTTATCAAAAATCGTGATTAAAGTTGAGACTCTTAGATTTTGTTTTGTTTTCCAAGAAAATCTTGAAGTGGGTTAGTTGATTTTGAGTGGTATGATCTGAAAAAATGGGAGCTGAAGCTGAGGTTGTGATTCAAAATAGCGTTCCTTTCTTGGATATGCCATGTTCTGAAGTGGTAAAAGCNAGGAATAGAAAGGACAAGTCTTTTTTCAATCAGTTTATTACAATTTCCCTCTTCCTTCTCCGGATGGGTGGGTGGAGGGGTATTTGAGGGGATAACTAGGTTATTCTATATCATTTGCTCTTCTCATTTGAATTTGAAAAAAAAATAAAAATCTTTAATTGATTAAATTATATATGCCCAACGGTCATTGTGATTGAGGATGAAATCAAATTCAAAAACCAATATCTTTATCTCATGCTAATACCATATATACCCAAAAAATTGGTTCTGCACTAAATCTTTATTCAAGATTCTGATCTCTGTGAAAGGTTTCTTACCGAGATTATCTAGCAGATAACTTATCTGTCTTCTAGCTATTGACTCTAGTTCATTTAGTTTACTGCTTGCTGAAAACCTTTTTTTTCCTCATATAGCCACTGGTCATGATAAAAGCTTTATATGATTGTGGTTTTTCGTACTATCGATGGAACGATTTTCTTTTCCCAATTCTGTGGACTTCCCTAATAATTTTTTTATTAATGAGATTGGATGAGATTGTAATGGTACATGATCTTGGTTGTTGAGCTTCCAAACACGTGCTTATGTGCCTAGACGATCTATAGTATTACCAACGGTAACGAAGGAAATAACATCCGAATATGCATGCAAACCTTTTATGTAGAGGTTTAAGAAACGCTTTCTTATAATACGTAAAAGAATATGGTGAATTCTTCTGTATTGTTCCTCAGTAGTCACTCGTTCTATAACATACATAGACGCATTTTAAGTTAGTCATTCCATCTGATCTTTTACTTTTAAGACCAAACTTAATTTGAAAACTACTTTATCTTTCAGGATGTCAAATCCCCAGAAACATCTGTTCTACAATTTGTTCCCAGCATTCGTTCTGGTAGTTTTGCTGATATTGGGCCACGAAGATACATGGAGGATGAGCACATAAAGATTGATGATCTGTCTGCACACTTTGGTTCACTCTTTAGTTTTCCCAAGCCAAGTGCATTCTATGGGGTAAGTGATATTCTCTTCATATTGCTGTTTTAGTCCTGTATTACAGTCATCCCATAATTTTCTCATTGGTTCCTTTTTGCATGGTACAGTTATTTGATGGCCATGGAGGGCCTGAGGCAGCATCCTATGTTAGAAAAAATGCAATCAGATTCTTTTTTGAAGACGCTAAATTCCCACAAACTTCTGAAATTGATGATGCATTTCGGTTAGAGGTTGAGAATTGTCTAAAGAAAGGATTTCTTCTGGCGGACATGGCTTTGGCTGATGACAATAGTGTGAGTACTTCTTCTGGAACAACTGCTTTGACAGTTCTTGTACTTGGAAGGTAAATCTTTGTGCCATTGATCACTTAATGTGTTAGATTTTACTGGCATTATCTTGTCGTTACTGTTTAAGATTTGGTTGAAGTTAACATCACAGAAAGAAATTGCCTATTGAGCTCTTGATTATTGGCCTCTCCGACCTTGAGTTTCAATTTATATGGCGTTTGGATACCTTTCTTATTCTTTGCATTTGAAAATTTTTGATTTTGAAAGTCAGCTCAAATAAGCTACACTGTTCTAAGTATACTATTTTATATGACCTACTTGTTCACGAGTTTAAAACCATAAAATTGGACAACCGAGTAATTTCTCGCATGTTAATGAATTCCTCTGTCTTTCTATCATTAAATTTCCTTTATCTGTTATTAAAAGATCCTGTTTACTCTCTTCCAGGCTACTAATGGTGGCAAACGCAGGAGATTGCCGAGCTGTTCTTTGCCGGAAAGGAGAGGCAATTGATATGTCTCAAGATCATAGACCTAATTATGCATCAGAGCGAAAGCGGGTAGAGGAATTGGGTGGGTTTATTGATAACGATTATCTCAATGGTGTTCTGTCTGTAACTCGGGCTCTTGGGGATTGGGACATGAAGTTGCCTCGGGGTTCTCCTTCCCCTCTTATTGCAGATCCAGAATTTCGTCAAATTGTACTGTCAGAGGATGATGAATTCCTCATAATGGGGTGCGATGGGATCTGGGATGTTATCTCTAGTCAACAAGCTGTTAGTCTAGTGCGTCGTGGGCTGAGACGACATGACGACCCCGAGCAATGTGCCAAGGACCTTGTGATGGAGGCCTTGCGTCGCAACACTTTTGACAATCTTACAGTCATCATAGTTTGTTTCACTACCCTCGATCACCCAGAACCATCACCAGCACGCCAACGAAAATTAAGATGTTGCAGCCTGTCAGCAGAGGCTCTGTGTAGCTTGAGGATTTTTCTTGACGGGAATGGAAACAAATGACTGTCTAGTTAGGGCAGTAAGGCTCTTTGGGGTTGCGGGGATGGTAAGGTATCTGTACATAACAATTGGTTGGCCGTTTGGTGGTCCATTTTGAGCCTGACGACTACTGTGTTATTATGGCCAATGGTCAAGGTTGATGGCTTTCGCTTTCATTTTCACTCACTATTTGATGGGTACATAAATTATTTATTATGTGGGTAAATATATTCAGGCTCTATTTTCCTTTCGATTGCTAGTCAAAATATAATAAAATTCTATGTACGACTTATTTGACCCTAATTCGATGGCTAAATGCACCCTTATTTTTAGCGGGAAGGACCCCGGATACATTCACATGGGGATTAGCGTAAATTTTACTTTTTTATTTTTATTTTTATTTTTTTTAAACTAAAGCAAAAATAAACACCAAGTCGTGAAATAGTGAGTATGATTTTAATAACAATAAGATGGGTTATGTCGGTTGACGGATGGAGTGATGTAATGGGAAAAATTTACAGTTCAGATGTTTACTATTTCAAAATTAAAAATCAGGCCCCAAAGTTTACAATTACAAAAATCAGGTTTTTCTTCAATGAATTAATTACATTTCA